GACATAAGCAACTACCATATATGTATTACTGGTATGAATAATATTTCAAGAAATTACATGGGATTTATACTTTTATGATGACATTTTCCTACCATATTGCCTTTATATTTAAGGATTCAGAGTCTATTTGGCTCTACTATTGTCTTTTTTTAATCTCATGTTTAGCTATTCACTTATTTGTTCAGTTTTTGCTTTCTTTTCTTTTCTTTTGCAGAGTAATGGCTATTCATTTAGAGAACATTAAAAAATATGTTTTCTACCCTTTAATCCAAGCTCGGGTATGTCGTGTTTGGATTCCAAAACAAAATGGACAAGCAACTAACTTTAATTGTCTATTTGTTAATCGCAAGGTATGCAACATATCTACTAATATCACTTTTATTATTATGTTATTCAAATTCTTGCCACTGCTTACATTCTATTTTTTAAGCCATATCTTTTAAAAGCAATAGATGTATCAAGCTTTAATAAAATTTGAAATGCATTCAATCCCATTATTTAGTTTGCTATCCAAATGTCTTTCTTAATAATAACGTAAACATGCATGCTAGCCAAGAGGGAGATGATTTTATTAATGTCACCTAAAAACCAGATGCTATGATTTTACTATCTTTAAGATTATTTTTTCTACTCATCCATCATTCTACATATTTTAACCTTACCATTATGCATTAACACCAATTATTGCCTTTGTTTTTCCTTTTTTTCTAAGCAAGGGTGATGCAATACAAGGATCAGCCAAAACTAGAGATGCTGGACATTTTGCTTCAATCATTACTGAAGGTGACTATTATGAAGTGAAAAATTTCTACACCTTTGAAAATCAATACATGAATATTGTTGTTAGCCATGAAGTTGTTATTGATCTTAAGTCTGACACCAAAGTTACTCACCTCGATTCTGTCCCACTTTCCATTCCACGATATTACTTTAATTTCACTGATTTCACACATGTCCTTAAGAAAGGAAAAGAATCACAACTTCTCACAGGTATTCTTTATTGTTGCCCTTCCGTAGCAAACTGTATCGTGCATAATTTTTTTCATTTCACTAACATGATTATTAAATGAATTATGTAGATGTTCTTAGTAGACTAAAGGCAATACAATCGATTGAGAAGATTTTGGTTTGAGGGCAAACACTTGAAGACAAGAGGGAGTTCATTCTTGAAAATATATGGTTGATTTTATTATATTCAATTCCTCCTGGCATTAGTCTAATATAAGTTTATTCTGTTTAGAGGTGAGGAGCTTCGCATTACTTTATGGGGTGACATTGCTAGAACCTTTGACGAGGCTTCTTTGGAAAAACAAGAATCTCCGATCATTGTTGCTTTTACTGGTTTTCGTGTCTCTGAATTTAGGGGTATACTTGATTCTATGTTCAAAGCTACCATGATTCTATTTTCTTAACTTTTCAATTAAAATTTCATAACCTCCTGGCATTAAATATACACCAGTAAATATGTATTTGTTGTTTTCTTTATAGGATCTGCAAATCTGATTGGCACTGCAGCTTCACTTTGGTATTTTAACCCAAATATACCAGAGTTATTAGCATACAAACATTAGTAAACTTCTATATTCTTTGAACCTTTTACATTTATTCAAATCCAAATTATGTATTAATATTTAAATTGATTCTTAATGGCTTTTTCTTTATTTTTACGTAGCTATGCACAAATGCCTGTTCACTTGCACCAGCTGCCTCCATCATCACAAGCTGTCCTATTATTAGAAACTCAAATAAATGAAAATAGAAGAACAATCAGAGAGATTTTCTGTATAGACCCATTCGAGCATAAGGTATCTATTATATTTTTTTTAAAATGTTTATTATTAGAAGCAAAACAAAGTTGTTGAATTATTTCTAGGACAAAAATGACATATAAATGATTTAATATGATCTTGCATATGAGAATTTAAGTAATGTGGTTGCCTTATATTGTTGATTTATTGCATGCAAAAAAATATTCTTCATGATAGTTCAATTTGCTAATAGTCCAACTAAATACTATTATTATGATTACAATACTATTAACAATTGCCAACGCTACATCACCTTCATTTTCATAAAAAAAAAATTGTATGACTTTCTACTTTACTTGGCATGTGCAAAATGAAAGATTTACATGCAAAGCTTTCATAGTGGATTATGATCTCTTCAAGGGATGGTGGTGCGAAAGCTGTCCAGATTGCAACAAGCCTCTCTGGACTACCTAATAATTTACGATGCATAGAGCATGACTATCCAACCTCTGCACTAGTTCCATGGTTCAACTACCATATATACCAAGACAGCCTTGCATTTTCAAAAGTTTTAAGCGATTTTTCCTTGTGCTTTATTTCATTATTAACTAAAACCTTTTTAATGTCTTTTAGGTTCAGAATTAATTGCATCATCAGCGATGGTCAAGATGTCACAAACTTTCTTCTTTCTGGAAAGATAGTTGAGTACTTTTTCAATGCTTCAGCTTATCATTTGGTCTTCGACAAAACATTCACTAACCCATTTATTATTCCACCTCAAATGATTGAGAAATTAAACAAAGTAAAAATATTTCAGCTTTGATTTGGAGCCCACAAATCTGTACTTAATAGATGTGAAATATATGTTTGCATCATCTTCAATGATATTGCAACTAAAGCATCTTCGACAGCCACTGATTCTAAAAGTTTCATACTTGTCACTCCTCTAACACCAAACCTTGCAGATCCCTTGAGTGTCGATCAGTCTCAAATTCAAACTCTAGCTTCACAGCAACACACCTCTCAACAAAAAGACATGTTCCATGACAGCTCCCATCCTAAGTTAAAAAGAGCATTAACCTTCACTGATGCTAGGCCACACAACAGGTTTGGTTCGTTTGCTCACACATAAAAAATATTTCATGTATTATGCCATAAATTTCTCATCCTACGCGATGCTCCTTCAACCATGATAAAGTTTTATTTGTGATTTCCCAATACAATGATGATGTTCCAGCCGAGGCCACTATCTCATTTGCTTTAGGTACATTCCTTTAACAATTATTGCTTGACTGTTCTACGAATATATAAATGACAGCTATTACTTGAGTTTTCTACTAATAAATAAATAGTTTTGCCTTTCATTTTTATTGTTTACACTTGCCATTGCTTAAGTACTTCCTTTTAGTATATGATTTAGCACCCAACTTCCCCAACCAGGACCCTTGAAAGATTATGCAGACTCATCAAAGAAACGTCTATGCGAAGATGACGATGATCTTATACCAGGACTTCCAAAGAAGCAACGCCTCTCCATTTCATCACCTGAAAAGGTATGCATCTACAAACCACCTCTTTGTTTAAAAAATAATAATTCAATCACAATTAAGTATATCATTCTCACTTTTTAATTGCCTTCCCATCATTCTCGCTTTCTAATTGCCTCCCCTTCTTTATGAACTCATCTACTCAGCAACAATTACATTTTTATTTCTCACTTCTAAATGTTTATTGCTTTATGAAAAATTTACAGCTTACAGTTACATTTATCTTTTGCTATAGAAAAAAAATTAGCATTCAGTTAATCAATGGTTCCTTAACATTGCAAGCTGATTAAACATCTTCATCATCTGCTTTGTTAATACAATCTGCCGCTCATTAACGTCCAATTTTCTATCTAGATATATAAAGTATAAAATATTTAACTCTAGTTACTTTTGTTATACTTGAATTTAACTATCTTTGCTTAACTTTTACTACTAACTTTATGAATATAATATCTTTTGCTATCTTAACTTGTGCAATTAAATTTATGAATGTTGATATCTTTTGCTATGTAACATTCCTATTAATTTATAAATATTTATCATAATAATTATAATTAAATTTCACTTAAAACACCCGCAGCATCGCGCGGGGTATCAAAGCTAGTGACTACCAGAACGCGTATGCTTGGATGCCACACGTATTAAAGAAAAAGCGCAATGATTTATGATTCTCTCTCTCTCTCTCCGTGGCCCTTCTATTTATTTCCTTGCCACCAAAACAAATTTAGCATAAATTAATTACGTCAAAACTCACAAAAGAAAAAAATAAAAGTTTCTCTCAATAATAAGAAGAGTCCTGTTTCATTTTGATCTGCCGTGAGTCTGTGAAAGGTTCCCCCCTCTGGAACCAAAGAATATTCTCTTCCCTCTCCCTCTCTTCATAATGACAGCTGAAAAATCTAAGAAATTCAAAAATGGAACCCTAATTTGAATTTAGCTAACCTCTGTTACCATCATCAACATTGCTTCTGTTTCCTACCTCTCCTTTCTTGAACCTTTTCTTCCTCTAATAGTAAGGTATGCTTTTCATTCATCTCTGATTACTTGCCCTTTTATCTGACACAAAGAAGGAAATAAAACGGCTAACTTTTGCATTCTGTAATAAAGACCCTTGATTTTTCTGCTTCTTGGAGATGTTGGGGTTCATCAAAATTTGAATGTTAATGTCCATGAAGCGAATATGTATTTTTCATTGTTTGTAGGTGTGATTTGCTATTTTCTTGGTGAAATTAACTAGTAAAGGGCTGAGCTTTTGTTTCTTTGTTTGTATTATCTTAGTTTAATCTATATTTGATTTCTTTTTTAATCTCTTGAATTCTTAAATATGTTGATTGAGTCCTTCCTGTGGTGAATATGTGTTCTAAACCTTGCTTGTTCTTACAAATTGATGGGTTCTATTAAAGATATTTAGAGCTTTTTTATTTTTTTTTTACTTCAAAAAAAATTGTGACACCAATTTAACAATAAACCATGGTTTTTATGTGTAATTAATTGACATTTATTTTGTTGAATTTGTGGGTATTTTCAATAATGTTGATACAAGATGTTTTCTAAACTAATCTCCCAATGATGAGAATCGGCAATGTAGCATTTACTTTTAGAATTCAAGTATTGCATGTCCTAAGTTACGTGCTCTTTTTATGTTTTTGAACTACGTGCAAGCATGAGCTTCTCACACTCACTATTTATTTCCATGCAGGTGTTTTTGCATCTGTTGGACCTAGGTTCGTCTGGTATAAAAGTTTGAGACTCCTGAATCGGAAGCAATAATGAGGAACAATTGGTTCTTTTACATGGATTTAGATGGAGAATCTCAATACATGTTTCCCTTAGAGCCCCTATTATCACAAGGCTTTGGGGCTAATCTATTTTCTCAGCTTAGCTCATTTGTTGATAATCCTTTGCACCAATCGAGATTCCTATATGTCCCTGGAACCATGGCTTTTCAAGAAGCTTTGAATGGCATGTCGAAGCTTGCTGGTGGTTTGATTTTTTGGTTCACTAGTGCATCTAGTTCAAATTTGAGTCGCCAAATATCAGGCAATCAGAGTTCTCCTACTCCAGGAAGCTGTAGATCTTCTGCACAAGTCAAGAACTCTACTTCTACTAGATGTGATCTTGCTGGTTTAGGCTTCAGTTCTGTATCAAAAGTAGAGTCTTCACCTCCTGTAGTTTTTAGCACGATCTCAAGTTTTGTGATGAGGCTCCTACTTGGGGAAGCTGAAAGACTTCAGTCATTCCCTGTCCTCTCATTAGCTGCTTCTCTGGTACCACCATTCAACAACTTGTGAGTCATTTGATATATAATAAAATAAGTTTCTCTCTGTGTACTTTCTGTTCTTTAGCTTTACTTCTCACACTTTATGCTGTTCTTTAACCATCTAAACTTTGCTTTCTTATTGGTCGTAAGAGCTTCAAATGTACTAGCTATTCCTTTGGAGAATGGTGATGTACAAGTGCATGCATCCATAGATCAAGGGCCTTGTGAAGTTGTGCATCGTGGATGTCCAGGCCTCTCATTTTCTGATTTAAACTGGACAAGACATGCTGTTGAGCCCAGAACTGGCATTGAGTTCCCAATGTTTTTGGACAACATCGTAGCTGGAGAGGAAAGATCTAGATTAACTTCAGAGGTAGATGTTCTAAATTTCATGTTATTGCACTAAACTTCATGTGTGCACATTATGTGTTGGCATAGCTGGATACAAGGGACCTGTTTTGTGCTAAAAATAGCTTGCTGCGTGCACTTGCATGTGTGTTTGTGTGTGTGTCTAAAAGCTGTGTATGTTCTAGTCTGTTTTACATTAGGGTTTTGAGACAACAATAGAAATTAGATG